AAGCGATGGACTTTGATTATTTTGATAAAAACGGTCATGAAGCTTTGTCGTATTTTTGGTCGTATTACTTTTGGTGTGTCTGTTGTTACGTTTAATTTGAGGACGAGAATGAATGACACTGAATGAATGAGAGAGATATAGAAAGAGATATAAGAGATAAGGAAGAAAGCGAGAGAAGAAATAGCAAACACGATAAGATTCTATTCTAAAAATCTATATATGATAGATATATATTATATATCGGAAAAACACAGATGTATTTACTAAGAGCTTTTGCGATGGCAGAGGAAAGGATGTAAAGCGAGCCAGTTAGTTCCCAAGTGATAGAAAAGGATCCAGTGGATTTTCCAATGAATGAAGCTTTCAAGTACGAGCTTAACGAACGTAGAATTACGGATTTTATGCCGTTAGCGTGAACAATGTAATTGCAAAACTGACCGTACGGGCTTGCTATTGTTGTTAGACGGAAATTGATGCCGTTGGACTCGCATCGGTCGGGAACTACGTGGCTCGAATGGAGTGCAAGAATTGTCGGAGAAGCGAATTTCGTGGCCCTGCGATCGAGAATAGACGTTCTTCGGCGATCGGGTTCGGCGTTTAGATCTTAAGGCGTTAGTGTAGGCATAAAGAAGTTTATTTTAAAAAAATTATAGACGGGCATGTTTGAAACTTGCGTCGGCACGCAATGTTGAAGAGTGACTCGCCTGCAATGATTCGTTCGTCGTTTCTGTGTGACAGAAGACGAGGCGATGATTTTGGCGGGTCTCTTTCATTGATAAGAAAAACAGCTTTCGTTTTTATTATATGTTTTTCTCGCAATCTATTAATACCGTATTTATATTGCCGCTGGTAGAATATCCCGCGCGCGGAAGGACGCTCGAATTGCGAATTCGAACACCGGATAGAAACTTGTCAAGCGTGCAAAGCCACCGCTCTGCGGTTCTTTTCTTAATCTAGTCGAAATTGATAAATTAATGTTCACGCGACAAAATGGACGGTAAACGATTTGGTAAATCACTTTTGTCATTGATTGAGCGCATTAATATATTGTAGAAATATGCTCGTCCATATTGTCTTTACATCAGCTTTAAGATGTGTTAGAAACGCAATTTGAAGAAAAAAAGTCTATCCGGTCTTCGCGAGAAGCATGAATATTAAATGAGACATTGCATAATCCTTTCAATCTTTTTCCGTCATCATTGACGACTCGTCTTCGCAGGGCAACCAATTCGCTGTAACGTACTATTGCGTTAAGAAGAGAATAATGTGCTGCAATTAGATCGTTAATCAGTCTGAAAGTGTGTTACATCTATGTAAGAAGAAAGAGAGAGAGAGAGAGAGCGAGAAAGTGTCGTGTGAATGAGAGGGAAACATGCAAGGGTGCAACGATGATGGAAAGTGAACGACATGAGAATTAATTGTGACTATAGTTCAACCCATCGCAGAACCCCCTTAAGCGATTATGCGAGAATCGAATACGAGTGAAGAGAAGGGAATGATCGCGGGAAAATAAGCGAATAGCTATAGGAAATTGCGAAACAAGAGCAAATAGCGCGTACGAGGGAGAGACGAGCAAGTCGAGACAAGTAGGTTTTGAACCGAGAGAGCCTTGTGTTAAGTGCCTTCAAAAGTACGACTTAGATTTTAGGCTATAGAAGAAACGAAATAAAAGAGGCGCTGGGCGCGTCCAGCTGTAAACGGATTTTTACGGTATTATTCGATCGGGTGTCGCTAATTTGTGTGCAAGATTCCAACACGCGACGAAGTTACTCGACGTATCGATCTTCAAAAACAAAGGGATATAATAAAGTTTCGACTCTGTTCTGTCCTTTCTTAATTGCGTCAATAAGAATTACTTGATTGCGTGTTTTCTCACACAACTTCTTCTCGTTCCATTTTCGTAAAGCAGTGCCTGAGGATTCATTTTAACAACGATAATTTTTTAAAGAGGAAGATATAAGGGCTGAAGATTTTCTCGACGAGTAGCTTCATCGGCCGAAATCTCCGGCGACGTCCCGCGTACATCTCGAGACCAGTGATATTTTTTTAGAAATTATTTATTTACGCCGAAGAAAGCGGAATTTAATCTCAACCACTCGCCTTTATACTGCCAATATATGTATATCCGCTAGAACGTACCTTCGTTCGATCCATTTTACACGATCAACCATGCCCCCCGCGTGACATTTTTTCTTCGACAACCGCAATATATGTGTGTGATTTGCATTTTAATTTACGTTAGTTCCGTATTTATTTCCACATAGAGATCATGTTTCTTACGCATCTTTATTGTTCTTATAACGTTAATTTCTCTGAGACACGAGTATGCGACACTTTCCTCGGGTTCCTTTGCACTTTGACCCTTTTTTTTCGTTCGTCTTTAATTGACAGTACAATTATCTGTAATAAATAATAGCGAAGTCTAAATCGTGTCACGAGCGCGCGATTTGAGCACCGAGTGCGGAACGTCACTTCGATCCGCGTCCGAAAGCTCCGTCATTTTCGCTTCGCTTCGATCGAAGACGATCGAACGATAATTCGCAATATACCGACTTATTGTGCGTACAACGTACAAGATCATCCGCAAATAGTATCATGAACGCCTTTACTTTTTAAGAGGACCCACGACGGACGTCCCGCACTCGAATTTAAGTACGATACTCTTTAGTACAAGCACAGTACTCGACTGTACAGAAATAGAAGGAAGAGCGAAAAAGGGAAGAGAGAATGAGAGAAAGATAGAGCGAATGAGCGAGAGTGTGAAGAAGTGAGAGAAAGAGAGTGAGTGAAAGAGAAGCGCGTAAAAGTAGACACAATTACAACTTCCGCTCAGCGCCTCGAACGCAAAACATACTTGTAATCGTAACTTCTTTGTCGCCATGTATTTGCCAACGAACGAATGATTTATTAATTATTATTTTTCCTTTTGCCTTCATTTTATAATTAATATTATTTAGAGAGCAACAATTATTAACGACTACGCTATGATGATAATGATAATCTTTCTAGATACTTTTTTGCTTGTTCTCTTGCGACAAATTCACAGCGACACACACACACACACACACACACACACAGAGACGTACACACATATGCATGCGCATCACGTGCATATACATACAACACGAGATATGAACATCTGTAAATACATGTACGAAGATCACCCATTTGCGGTAAGATAACGTGATTTAGCAAGAGTGCGAACTTCATCGTCGTGTCGCCGTTTATTGGCGTTCGTTTGTAAGAATCACGTAAGAATAGTCGCTTGCTTAAGGAACTTACGGGGAACGCTGGGTCGGTCTCGAACTCGCGTCGGAGCTCACGTCTCTCGTTTTCGCATGATTTCCAAAGAAATCAATCAGAAGAGACCCGTGTCGTGAGGGGAGACGAGATCCCGCGTTGGTCGCGACAAACCGAACGTTCAAGTTCTGTTCTTTCTATTACAGTACTTCCTTTCCGTTTTATTCTTTTTGTATACACATATCATCTTTTGGACCTTTCGAACATTCCAAAACGCTTGTTTCCCTCTTTTTTTTTTGTCAATTTGTAGAGCGCCTTGTATTCAATTTAGAGCAAAATAAAGTCTAGAAAGGCAATATCCCAGCCGCGTTTTCTACACTCCCATAATTCTTATTTCTTACAGATCGACGGTTTTGTCTCGAGTAAAGTGATAGGCGAGCAGGCAATAACGAAGCGTAGTCTCTTTCAGGAACTTTACATTAAGTGAGATTCGAAACGATTTCGCGTACGGGCAAATAATTTTGTATCGGTGATATTGGACATTCAAATATATTTGTCATTACTAATTTGTTCAATTAAATAGAGTAAACGGTCTGTCTCAGTAATGAAACATTCAATCGATGACGTATGTGACTTAGCAGTTCTCCTTTAAAGAAGAATGGAAAAGATTTATCGTTCATAATTAAAAAGAAATTATCTCGATTTGTAATACTTGAACCCGTGTTTTCTTATCTCTTTAACTTGCAAGTATTACTGCAGAGTCAGTTATATTCGACAATTTTCAAAATCTCTGTATTTTATTTTAAAGTAAAAGTGTTAAAGTAGATAAAGACAAAAAGTACTTTTACAGCATATCTACGAGAATGGCACGAGGTTATAATTCGGAGTCTTCTTCGAGGACAAACACTGGGTCTCTTTGGAATTTAATTACTGTTTCCGCATACTGACTAGTTGAATTTTTTTGCAGGTGCTGCAATCAATGGCGTAAATCTCCGCGCGGAAGAAGATTCATGAAGTTTCGTCACTCGACGAAGGACAAGAACACATAGAGAAAATGTAATTATTAAAAATAAAGAGCTGCAAATTAATTCACGAACATTTAATAGCCTGAATCCCGATACTTCCAGCCCGATGTTGAGTACATTTTATTTAAAGCTGACAAAATTAATTATGAGTTTCAGAGAGTGAGCAATCACTTAAGTGATGTCGAAGGGACCCGGCAAGGCAGGGGCACATAAAAAAAGGCCTACCGATTTGCCATTAATCTAGAATCTCTCCAGTACAGTGTGATAAGATAGCAGTGGCAGGATTTTAGCTTTGCATCTTGATGAAAAGGAATATTTTAGAGTCATGTAGCTCCCAGAAAGATAACCCAATGTTTGCTGATTCTAAAACCTATCATTCCGATGTAAAGTTACTATTCGAAGCTGATTTCACAAAGGATCACGACTCACACATCACACACCATATCAACCAGGGACTTTCTCGACTAGACGTTCGCGAGAAGGTCCCGGAATGAGTAGATAATTATTGTCGAGAGTCGTTCCTATCCCTCGATCCCGTTTCCCGACGCCACATGCTCGTTGTTGCTAAGCTTGAGATCTTGAATGTCTTTTTTTTGTTGGCATGGCCCGCGCCGTTGTAAAGAGTACAGTAACCGCCGCGTGGTCCCCGCCTGAACGGGGGGCACCGCGCGTGTAGAGCCAACAGGTCACAATAACTAATCGTACCGTCGACACGTCTGCTTGCGTCTTTTACAGGTTTCTTCGCCGGCCTCGGTTGGACCGGTGAGGGCTCGCGGCGCGTTTCGAGGAGCGCGAACTCCGCGACGACGACGTCGTCGTCGACGGTTGCGAGCGACGTGCCGGCACCGCTGACACCGCAGCGTCGTCCTCGGCTGCACTGTCCGTCGCGGCACACGGCCAGCCGCAACAATAATCACCCGAGCATCAGCAGCAGTGGCGGCCTGATGCATCACGATCGCCGGCACAACTGCTCGAGATGCGGTAAGAGCTACAAGAACGCGTACATCCTGAAGCGACACTTGCAGTACGAGTGCGGCAAGGCGCCGTCCTTCAGCTGCCCGCATTGCGCCTTCAGCTCCAAATATGAGCGCAATCTCAAGGCGCACATCAATCACCGGCATGTCGATCTACAGCCGGCGCTGTCCGGCATCGTCGTCGGTCAGCGAGAAACGCGTCATCAACACAGCAGGGAGTGACTCGTCAGAGTCTGCGAGGTCGCGATGTAAAACGAGAACGGTATTTTTTATAGGATCTGAAATCGGTTGCGGTCGCAATTCGCGGCACGAGGGATACATGGCCAAAGTCCGAGTGTCAAATTTACGTCGGGCATATATCGACGACTAATTGGTCGGATATTCGCGAGATGACCACGAGAAGTTTGCGATATTTAGAGATGATTGCGAAGAATAGCAAATTTCTCGTGCGAGTATCTGAAGGATACCTTCACGTTTCGTCAACACTGGGTCCCCAGTGGATTCAGAGATATCAGCATTTTTATTTTATTTTTCAAAAGTACGCTGGTAGAAAATAATCCGCGAATGTTTTATTTGTGCAACCCGAAAAGAATATTTGGAAGATATTTTTTTTATTCGAATTTTTCATTTATTTTCTCTTTTTATTTTTCGTCTTGTCCATTTTTTATTGCCACGTTTTATTTCATCGAGCTTATCCGTTGTGTAACAAATACAAAAGTACGTATAGTACAATTCGCACCCACATCCATTAATTAGCATAATCGTGCTTAGTTGTACGATAAATTGAGCTTCCGTAAGCATGCTGGTCAAGTTTTTGTTAAGTTAATTTTAAACTGTGACATTAGTCACATTCTTACAGCCAAAGTGAGTGCCAAAAAAGTAATTTTTAATTAAGTCCTCTGAATTATGCTCTCTTTTATTTATTGCCAGTCTTGTCACGTTTTATTTTCCCGAGCTTATTGCTTGTAATGGAGATTTTACTATGCGTGGTACTCTGTGTCGTGCGAGACAAGTAATTTAAAATAAGACGAATGTTTGAGAAATCTATACCAAAGGATGCGTTTTTGTCTGGAACGTTAGCGATGTGCATTACATAAGACAATATGTATTTGAACCGCTAAACTAGGATTTTAATAGTCCCTTGTTCAATGTTTATTTTCAGAATAAGATTACGGCGAAGCTTATTTGCCGCCTGTATGGTATTATATAATGAAAGGACAAGGAGAGATGAGCGTTTTATCTAAGAAAATAATAAAGTAAATGTTAAAAAAAACATTAGTGATCCGCCGATTGTGGCGCGACGTTAGTACTTGTTGGTTCCCGTTTAACGATATATAAATGGATAAAAAAGTCAAATAAGAACATTGTTGAATATTAGACAGACTTGTGAAAGTGTGCCAAAAAAGTGTGAGAAAATCGCGTTCTGTTGCATTTTTTCAAGAACTAATTCCGTCACGATTAACGAGACGAATATCTGCCGCCAAACATCGCGGGACACGAATCTCAAGTTTCCGAGCGTCTTATGCGCTCCGTACTTTTTTTTCAAATCAATCCGAAGGTAATTAAAAGCAATTAATTAAAAAAAAAGACACTTTCTTGGGACATCTTCGAGTCTTTTGCAGATGGCTAAATTGCCCAATTATTTTTATACTAATTATAAGTGATTACGAGAGTCGCTAGTGAGATCTGATTGCAAGGTGCTTTCACCTTAATCGTCAAGCAGGGCGAAATTCTCGACGCAACGAAACACCCCCGACACACGTAGATTACCGATCCCAGCTATCTAATTCAGCCTAGCTTAAGGATTGTTAATCAAGTCTAGTCAGACCAGTCTTTTCTCATTGTCTTCGGGCGATGCTCTATGAACGGTAAAGACAGAGATCTTGGTGGCAAGTATACATGCATGTACATATGCATATGTATGCATACACGTACACTTTCAGTGAGTGAATAAGTTTTCTCACAACTGAACCAATATAAACAAAACTATTGGCAGCGCTACTAATACTACTGTAAGCCTAGTTTCACCAGCGTCGCTTAACTTCATTCATTCTTTGTCCCGTCCTAACTGTTGCTTTAGAAAGGGACAAACGTGAATTAAACTGAGATTAAAGTTAAACGACGTTTGGTGAAACCGGGCCTAAATCTGTTGCTAATTATTACACTGCAGTCTAATGACGAAGTCTTAATGCTCGCAAATATTTGCAATAATTACGCAGTAAAGCAAAGACGGTACAATCCACATTTGCAATAGACAAATGTAAAGCAATCTACCCTTCCGTTAATATCCCCCGGATTATACCAAGATTTCTAATATTTGAGTGTCGAAGGTACATTTATTGTTACCGCCCGAGACAAGATTAAATAGTTCTTGTCTATCGTAGAGTTATGTGTAGATTGCGAAAAACTAATAGATGTATTTAAAAAAGTTTCCCCCCCTAGCCCAAAAATATAATCGTTGGCGACTCGACGTTTTATAACGTAAAGACAAAATTGATATCGAAAGCTATATTTAATACGTGGGAAGTTCATTAGTCGTGTTTGTTCACGTCTTTCTATCTGAATTAGAATCGTCTAGTCTAAAAAACGGCCTAAGCAGGTCACGTACATACACAAAACCTACTCCACATTATTACATTCAAGAGAATATATTTAAATCAAAAAGGTACATACATATATCGTATGTATTATATATATCATATACATATTATACGTATGACGTAATACCGATAATTTGCAATGATGTATTACGATATAAATGATAAGCCATTTACTCTACAATTGAAGAGGTGTCTTTCTTGGTCGGGATAAATAACCAATTGAATTCACTTCCGATCCATTTCAACGGAAGATTTCAGACTTTATAAGTGATATAAAGCAATTAAGTGCAATCGAGTGATTTTAATTAACAGTTATTCAATGGAAATTACGTTTCTTCATACGCAACTTGTACAATAAGTGAAACTTGCTTTCTATAAATTAGAGTAGAGTAAATTACTGTTACAGAATGAGATAATATTTTCTTAGAAGTATAGAAAGTTCGATAAATGCGAAATCATATATGAGACGAAGATTTACGTCCCCTTTTCTTTCGTCAAAACCGATGTAGTTTCTATCCTGTCTGTCATGTTAGTTAACGATGCTAGCTCATTGCATTCCGCGTATTATTCTGATAATTAATAATAGCAATATCGAACGGTTATAACTGATGGTAAATGCCGATGCAACGAGGCGAGCATCGTTTCAGAAATTGTAATCAAGAATAGTTTGCGAGAATTTTGATAAAAATAATTCGCGCGTAAGCCTAACATATGAGCTTCCTTCGAGATCCAACGAATGCGAAAAGACATAGGATCAAGGACCAAAGGATCGACAAAGAACTTTCTTCGTCTTGTTAGTCAAGGCTTGTCCCGACCAAGAACTAAGTGAACGCTATAAGACAACCTTAGGAATATTGACGATCTCGTATTTATTCTACAGATCTAGAAGATCTTTAAGTGTTACTCTCTTTCTCTCTTTCTCTCTTTCTCCCTCCCTCTCTCCCTCTCTCCCNNTCTCTCTCTCTCTCTCTCTCTCTCTCTCTCCTCTCTCCTCCTCCTCCTCCTCCTCCTCCTCCTCCTCCTCCTCTCTCTCTCTCTCTCTCTCTCTCTCTCTCTCTCTCTCTCTCTCTCTCTCTCTCTCTCACTCTCTTTCCATATTTATCTTCTTGTACCTATCTATTTTTCTCTTCGTGCTAGAACTCATAATCTCGAGCTAAGCTCTTTCCTATATCTTGATGAAGTCTCGAATAATCTCAATCTAGACGTCATATCGACGGTCGATCTGTATCTACTCGCATTGATCTATCAACTGTCTTTGAACTAACTCAATTGTCCGATATTTCACGATCACGCTCGTCCGATCGGTATTCCTGATACGAGACCTAATTGTTTGGATCATCGATTGCGACACAGCGCAATGAAAAATTCACTGAGCAAATGGTATCACGAATTTTTCGCGCGAAATATCGATCGGGATTGCTCGTGAAAAAAAAACGCGCGACTGCGGACCTCTCTAGCTTTCACGTGCTCCTCCTCGTTGACTTTGAAAATTTCGAAAGGATCTTACACGTCCGGGCGATCTTACGTTTCCGCTGACTCGTGTCGTCCTGTATTTTTCCTTTCCTCGTCTTTCTTACGAAAAATGAATTACTGATAAGGGGATTCTCGTGTGTCGTCCAAATCGACTCCATGTGCCTAAAAATGTGATCAAAACACACTGTTGTAAAATGCGACGCTCGTGCGTCGCATCGTCTAGTTTCTTGTTGTGCTGCGAGGATTCGACGATTCCCGCAGATTATCATCCTTCCGTTTTCGGAGAAAGCGAATATTCTGATATTCGGCACAAATAATTTATAGGAGCGAGCAGCAAGTTATTCGATAATATCTGTTTCAGCAATAAAATCAAAATGAAGACCACTTTTTGTCAAGAGACAACAGAAATTGTATACACACTTGACATTCGAAGGTTCAAGGAATGCTTTCTTCACTACCACAGAAACCTCTATTATTAATATTATTAATTTTGACATAATTGAATCTGCCATTTTATGGAAAAATCTATGGATCTGTGTTTATGTAATATAAACACGAGATATACATATATAATAATTTTGTTAAAAGTACAGCGACAAAATTGAAAACTATTATAAGCCTGTTTTTAAATTATTTTAATAATTAGTATGAAAGAAAATCAAGTTTACGTCTAATTATGAAATAACAGACGAAATGTTATGCGCGTTACAAAAGTACAATGTTAATCAAGAAATTGTAGTTTTTTTTTCAAAATATAGATAACGTTTTTATAATTTTTTTTTATCAATAGACGCAAACGACAAAATATTTTCCACATGTCATGTGACAGAAAAACTTTCGAGAATAAGCGGTTGCATTTATCTGTTGTAAATTTTCATATACGTATACATGCAAAATGCGATAGACGTTGTTAAATATGGTGATTAATACAGCGTAACTTCGAACCCCATACGAGATGTGAAAGCAAACGGAACGTGTCTTCCAAGTTTTCCATGTTATCGAAGCAGAGTAGAGCCGAAGTACAGCACGAGAGAGGAAAACTCTGTTTTTCGCGCGATTTTGCGACTAGATATGTGAGAGCAAAACGGGATATACAGTGACGGAAAGACTG